CCTCTCTGTCTCTTGGTTTGTCTTTGTTTGTCTCAATGTGTCCGTGTTTGTCGTTCGTCTCTATTTCTTTATGTCTTTTTGTGTTTCTCTGTCTATTTCCGCGCGTTCGCGTCTGTTTATTTGGTAATGTCTGTTTATCTTTGTTTGTGTTTTTATTTTTTTGTTTGTGTATACTTGTTTTTGCGGGTCGGTTCACAAAGATGGCACACTGCCGCATTGCCGTATGCCGTATCTCCTTTCTTTTAAGCTCCGTTTTTTTTTGATTTTGATTGTCTTTTTATTTTTAAGTGGTTTTACTATTATTTTTGCTTTGCTGTTCGTTTCCATTTTTTTCTCTCTCTTTCTCTCTCTCTCTCTGTCTCTTTCTCTTTTTTACTCTTTGAAAGAAAAAGAGAGAAATACAAATATATTTTTTCTTTATTTCTCTCTTTTGATTTCTCTTCCTCTCTTTTTCTCCTTAGGATGAGGAATAACTTGCCTAGGTCTTGTTGGGGTATCGATTTGTTTTTTATAGGGCCTTGTTTTTCATAGGTTCGGAGATATTTTTAGGAAATTATTGTTAGCAAATTCCTTTTGTTATAGATCTTTCTCTTTTTTCCCCTTTTTTGTTCATTCTCTTTTTTTCTATCTCTTTCTTTTTCTTTTTCTCTTTATCTCTCTCTTTCTCTCTTTTTCTCTCTCTTTTTCTTTCCTTTTTGATTTTTTAATTGGTGTTGTTATTGATGGAATTAACGAATTTTCTCTAGTATTTGTAAGTTTATATATATATATATATTATAAATAGAAATTCTCCTATAAACCGGTATGGCCGCGAGATTGTATTTCCTGTGCACCGGTAAGCCGTTGTAGCGGTACTCCGCTATGCTTGTCCTAGTCTTTTCTCCGCCGCGCAAGCTCCCGCCTTTTCTCGCGGCCCGGAAGGCCAAATGTCGGGGTTTTTTTAACAACTTTGCTTAGAGTTCTCGCGGCGTAACCCGGCCAATTTTTTTCCCGAATTTTGGGTCGCTTCCGGCGACGCGGCTCTTAGGTTTCTGGGTGTTACCCCCGCAAATGTCTTCAGAATTTGTCGGCTTTTTGAAAAGCTTACCGGGCCAAATTTTGAGGAAATTTAGGGACTTGTCCGAGTCGAAATTTCTCGAAAATTTCGTGCCGGGTGTCTCCGTATCTTTGCCTCTGTCTATGTCTCCCAGTCTGTTTCCGTGTGTTCGTATCTATCTGTTTCGTAATCTTTGCCTTTGTTAGTCTATCTTTGTGCATTTCTGTGTGTCCTAATCTGTTTCTTTTTGGTGTTTGCGCCTCTTTGTCTCTATCTGTTTGTCTGTGTCTCTCTGTCTCTCGGTTTGTCTCTGTTTGTCTCTATGTGTCCGTGTCTGTCGTTCGTTTCTATTTCTTTGTGTTTGTTTTGCATTTATTTGTCTATTTCTGTGTGTTCGTGTTTGTTTATTTGGTAATATTTGTTTATGTTTGTCTCTGTGTTTATCTTTGCATTTATTTGTGCTTGTTTTTGCAGGCCGGTTTACAAAGATACGCTTTCTTCCTTTTATTCTTTTATTCTTTTTATTTCTGATTGTTTCTCTTATTGTTCTTGCTTGCTTGCTTGCCTGTTTGCTTGCCTCCTTTTCTCTTTCTTTTTTTCTCTCTCTGTTTTTCTCTCTCTTTTTTTCTCTTTCTTTTTCTTTCTATTCTGTTGGGGTATCGGCTGCTTTTTCTGCTTTCGGAAGCCATTACCTCCACCTCGGGTATTCTCGCTAACAATAATTCTTCTTGCTGTGGGTTGTTCTCTCTCTCTCTCTCTTTTTTTGTATTTCTTTTTCTTTGTCTCTTTTTCTTTCTTTTGTTTATTCTCTCTTTTTCTCTCTCTTTTTTTTCTTGTTTTCTTTTTTCTCTTTTTCTTTTTTTCTTTTTTTCTTGTTTCTCTTTATATGTCTTATGGTTTTTTGTTCTGTCCTTTTTGTTTGTATTCGTTTTTTGTTATTTAATTTGTTTCTCTTTCTTTTTGTCGTTTTATTGTTCTTTTGTTTCTCTTTTATTTTTCTTTCTTCTTTGATTTGTTTATTGGTATTGCCATTGATGGAATTAACTCTAGTATTTGTAAATTTATTTGAGTATATATATATATATTATAAATATAATTTTTCTATAAATTGGTATGGTTTCGAGATCGTATTTCCCGTGCACCGGCAAGCCGTTATAGCGGTATTCCGGCCGAATCGTAGTGCTTGCGGCGAGCGGCTATGCTTATGCTAGTCTTTTCTCCGCGGCATAAGCTCCCGCCTTCGCACGGCCCGGAAGGCCCCGAAAGTTTGCCAAAATTTTAGGGGGTACCCGGCCAATATTTCCCCGAAGTTTGGGTCGTTTCCGGCGACGCGGCTTTTAGGTTTCCGGACGTTACCCCCATAAATTTCTAAAAAAATTACCGGGCTAAATTTCGGAATCGAAATTTCTCAAAATTTCGGGGGAATCGGCCAAGTTTTCCCGAATTTTGGGTCGCTTCCGGCGACGCGGCTTTTAGCTTTCCGGACATTATCCCCGTAAATGTCTTCAGAATTTACCAAAAAAAAATACCGGGCCAAATTTTAGAAGAATAAACAGGAGTATAGAGATAATGCGGTTGGTGACATATATTCACATATAACAAATAATATCTATTTTTTTGAGTCCTATATTGGGTTTAAAGGATTTTTTAATTATTTTCTTAATAAATATTAGGAATATTTATATATAACCAAAGTTAAGATTAACTAATTGATTTAACCCAAATAATTCAAATCTTTGTTTATATAAAATAAAATCGTAATACTCCTCATACGTGTTTTCCCAGACCAATTTTCCAAAAATTCCCGGAGATTTCGGAAAATTAATACGGGCTATCCCTAAAAAATATAGCGATTCATATTTCTTACGGGCCACTTACCCAAATCTATCCAAATTATCCTAACCCTATATCCGGAAAACATAATGCTTTCATTTATTCCGAAACCACCTTTCATTAGACATTTACTCGATCTATTTACATATTTTTATTTAAAAATTACAAATATATTTCCCGAACTAAAATTCATGTTCTACAATAAACCTAATTATTCTATATAAAACCTATTTTAATACATTTAACAAAATTCTAACCCTAATATTCATTTACTACATAGCCACCATTATAAACAAAACTCTAAATCCCTCTTAATAATAATTATTTTCAACACTTAAGAAAATACAAAAGAATAACTAAATATATTACCAATAAATAAATTCAATAAAATGTTTGCGTTTTAATACAATATTCATCGTAAAATAAATCCTCTAACCATTTATTCCTCTCTATAAATATATTCTTAAAAAAAAAAAAAACTATTATAATTCATATACCAATAAATTAATAAATTACTAACCAATTTAATTATAATAATAATTTAATTTAGACATAAAATGAATTTCTTATAAAAATTCAATAATTTATTTTCGCACCAACAATTAAATACAACTATATCTTACCTCTATATATCTATTATCAATATAATTAAAATAATATTTAAAATACGAATTCGTAATTTATCCATATAATTTATTTAAAGTATTTAATTTCGATTTATATTAAAATAACCGTATTTTTATATAAAGTCTATAACAAAATTATAATAAACATATATTATGAATTTCGATATAATTAATTATAATAAAAATAATTCAATCCCCTGGTTATATATCCTTATTATTCACCTCAGATAAATATATTGGTTGTCAAATTATATATTTCGAATATAAATATAACCCCTTGATAATAAATATCTAAAAAATTAAGAAAATATATTCCTTATTTCTATCAGAAAAGCCAAACAGAGCCATTCACAGAAGAAAAAAACGGGCACGTGTCCAAGACCGCAAGAGCCCAACGGCGCGTGGCACGTCCCGTTTCCTGGCGCGAGCGCTTCTTTCGGGCTTGAGAGCTGCAATCATGTGGTCCGCAGCGGCGTCAATACACCGACAAACTGCAAACATGTGTGTAAACATATAAACATAAAAGAAATATACACATAAGACTTAGAGCAACAACCGCAGCACACAAACTTGACAACAATCCGTTCAAACTCAACCAAAACAAAACACATCCGCGTGCCTTGGCCCAAACAAAAAAGGCCAGATCAGTCAGAGGAGAATACAACAGAGTGCCATGCTCCCGCCCCAAGGACACCCCGATAATGTTTGCTCGGCAGGCCTCCGTATGGTGCAGCGAACGCGCAATGCAATGACTTTGGCAACATCATGGTAAGCTGCCGAACACGTTTTTTTTGCATGGTGGTTCAACAGATTTATTGACAATTCTAGACAAGGGCCCGAGAGGATGCCCACCTAGCTGGAGCTTGGATATGCCTACTGCATAGCACACGCGGATGGACAAAATCCAGTACTGGGATAAACAACCGACCAACCGGTGCAGGATATTGCCCATCCACAATAGCACACTCTCAATCGCACTAGGAGGCAGCCGACGCATCCAACTGCTCAAGGGGCTCCCCAAACATCAATTAACACTCTGCCTACGATGATGAATGTGCAGGATCTTGCTGAAAAGCAAGCAACCGTGCAAAAGCCAACTCACGTATATCACTATGCGGAAAAGCTGCAGCGTGTCTTCGACATGTGGGCCTGTCTTCACACGGACAAATGTTTCTCCGCAAGAAGACACACCCCCAGTTTCATCCACGCTCATATTGCAAGTGGGGGTTCTGCTGCGTGTTTCCTAATTCCCACCCCCCCGTCCCCCGTATCTCATCCAAAGGCCCCCCATAGCCATCCCCGGGGAAGATGGTCTCGCCTGCATCCCCGACACTGCGCACGTCCGGCACGGAGCTGACCACATTCACGGTCTGGCGAAAGGCCGAAGTGGCCACCGATGAGCTCTCCGAACACCCTCAAAATCTCTGTTTGAAAGACAAAGAGCGGTGTGTCCGTTTTTCCTCACAACATGTGTTGCTCGCAAGACCTGGCAGTGTGATATGTACTCACAATCGCAGTCTGAGGACCAAATGTATGGTGCTGCCTTTCTGAATGTTGTAATCAGCCATCGTTCTTCCGTCTTCAAGCTGCTTGCCAGCAAAGATCAAGCGCTGTTGGTCGGGCGGAATTCCTTCCTTATCCTGAATCTTGGCCTTCACCTGCTCGACAGTGTCGGAGGACTCCACGTCAACTTCAATGGTCTTTCCTGTGAGAGTCTTGACGTTGATTGAATATCCAGAGGCAGTGACTTCCTTGTCAAGGGACAGCACAGTTTCACGCTGCAGGAGATTGACTTCCTGGCTGGCTGTGCAATCCTCCGCCGATGCAAGGACCAGCAAAAGCGCAAGCTTCAACAGTGCCATTGGCTCGAGGCAAAGGGGTGTCGATTGCAATAGATCGTGAGAATGGCTTGAGCCCATGCAGGAAAGCCAAACAGAGCCACCAAGCAACTCGCAGAAGAAAAAAAACGGGCACGTGTCCAAGACCAACTGCCACCATGCGTGCGCAGGTAATTGGTGCTCCGACTGCTTGCGGCCTTCTGCAACTGCCGCAAGAGCCCAACGGCGCGTGGCACGTCCCGTTTCCTGGCGCGAGCGCTTCTTTCGGGCTTGAGAGCTGCAATCATGTGGTCCGCAGCGGCGTCAAAAAACCGACAAACTGCAAACATGTGTAAACATATAAACATAAACAAAATATACACACAAGACTTAGAGCAACAACAGCAGCACACAAACTTGACAACAATCCGTTCAAACTCAACCAAAACAAAACACCTCCGCGTGCCTTGGCCCAAACAAAAAAGGCCAGATCAGTCAGAGGAGAATACAACAGAGTGCCATGCTCCCGCCCCAAGGACACCCCGATAATGTTTGCTCGGCAGGCCTCCGTATGGTGCAGCGAACGCGCAATGCAATGACTTTGGCAACATCATGGTAAGCTGCCGAACACGTTTTTTTTGCATGGTGGTTCAACAGATTTATTGACAATTCTAGACAAGGGCCCGAGAGGATGCCTGGATATGCCTACTGCATAGCACACGCAACATACTGTGGATGGACAAAATCCAGTACTGGGATAAACAACCGACCAACCGGTGCAGCATATTGTCCATCCACAATAGCACACTCTCAATCGCACTAGGAGGCAGCCGACGCATCCAACTGCTCAAGGGGCTCCCCAAACATCAATTAACACTCTGCCTACGATGATGAATGTGCAGGATCTTGCTGAAAAGCAAGCAACCGTGCAAAAGCCAACTCACGTATATAACTACGCGGAAAAGCTGCAGCGTGTCTTCGACATGTGGGCCTGTCTTCACACGGACAAATGTTTCTCCGCAAGAAGACACACCCCCAGTTTCATCCACGCTCATATTGCAAGTGGGGGTTCTGCTTCGTGTTTCCTAATTCCCACCCCCCCGTCCCCCGTATCTCATCCAAAGGCCCCCCATAGCCATCCCCGGGCAAGATGGTCTCGCCTGCATCCCCGACACTGCGCACGTCCGGCACGGAGCTGACCACATTCACGGTCTGGCGAAAGGCCGAAGTGGCCACCGATGAGCTCTCCGAACACCCTCAAAATCTCTGTTTGAAAGACAAAGAGCGGTGTGTCCGTTTTTCCTCACAACATGTGTTGCTCGCAAGACCTGGCAGTGTGATATGTACTCACAATCGCAGTCTGAGGACCAAATGTATGGTGCTGCCTTTCTGAATGTTGTAATCAGCCATCGTTCTTCCGTCTTCAAGCTGCTTGCCAGCAAAGATCAAGCGCTGTTGGTCGGGCGGAATTCCTTCCTTATCCTGAATCTTGGCCTTCACCTGCTCGACAGTGTCGGAGGACTCCACGTCAACTTCAATGGTCTTTCCTGTGAGAGTCTTGACGTTGATTGAATATCCAGAGGCAGTGACTTCCTTGTCAAGGGACAGCACAGTTTCACGCTGCAGGAGATTGACTTCCTGGCTGGCTGTGCAATCCTCCGCCGATGCAAGGACCAGCAAAAGCGCAAGCTTCAACAGTGCCATTGGCTCGAGGCAAAGGGGTGTCGATTGCAATAGATCGTGAGAATGGCTTGAGCCCATGCAGGAAAGCCAAACAGAGCCACCAAGCAACTCGCAGAAGAAAAAAAACGGGCACGTGTCCAAGACCAACTGCCACCATGCGTGCGCAGGTAATTGGTGCTCCGACTGCTTGCGGCCTTCTGCAACTGCCGCAAGAGCCCAACGGCGCGTGGCACGTCCCGTTTCCTGGCGCGAGCGCTTCTTTCGGGCTTGAGAGCTGCAATCATGTGGTCCGCAGCGGCGTCAATACACCGACAAACTGCAAACATGTGTAAACATATAAACATAAACGAAATATACACACAAGACTTAGAGCAACAACCGCAGCACACAAACTTGACAACAATCCGTTCAAACTCAACCAAAACAAAACACATCCGCGTGCCTTGGCCCAAACAAAAAAGGCCAGATCAGTCAGAGGAGAATACAACAGAGTGCCATGCTCCCGCCCCAAGGACACCCCGATAATGTTTGCTCGGCAGGCCTCCGTATGGTGCAGCGAACGCGCAATGCAATGACTTTGGCAACATCATGGTAAGCTGCCGAACACGATTTTTTTGCATGGTGGTTCAATAGATTTATTGAAAATTCTAGACAAGGGCCCGAGAGGATGCCCACCTAGCTGGAGCTTGGATATGCCTACTGCATAGCACACGCAACATACAGTGGATGGACAAAATCCAGTACTGGGATAAACAACCGAACAACCGGTGCAGGATATTGCCCATCCACAATAGCACACTCTCAATCGCACTAGGAGGCAGCCGACGCATCCAACTGCTCAAGGGGCTCCCCAAACATCAATTAACACTCTGCCTACGATGATGAATGTGCAGGATCTTGCTGAAAAGCAAGCAACCGTGCAAAAGCCAACTCACGTATATCACTACGCGGAAAAGCTGCAGCGTGTCTTCGACATGTGGGCCTGTCTTCACACGGACAAATGTTTCTCCGCAAGAAGACACACCCCCAGTTTCATCCACGCTCATATTGCAAGTGGGGGTTCTGCTGCGTGTTTCCTAATTCCCACCCCCCCGTCCCCCGTATCTCATCCAAAGGCCCCCCATAGCCATCCCCGGGGAAGATGGTCTCGCCTGCATCCCCGACACTGCGCACGTCCGGCACGGAGCTGACCACATTCACGGTCTGGCGAAAGGCCGAAGTGGCCACCGATAAGCTCTCCGAACACCCTCAAAATCTCTTTTTGAAAGACAAAGAGCGGTGTGTCCGTTTTTCCTCACAACATGTGTTGCTCGCAAGACCTGGCAGTGTGATATGTACTCACAATCGCAGTCTGAGGACCAAATGTATGGTGCTGCCTTTCTGAATGTTGTAATCAGCCATCGTTCTTCCGTCTTCAAGCTGCTTGCCAGCAAAGATCAAGCGCTGTTGGTCGGGCGGAATTCCTTCCTTATCCTGAATCTTGGCCTTCACCTGCTCGACAGTGTCGGAGGACTCCACGTCAACTTCAATGGTCTTTCCTGTGAGAGTCTTGACGTTGATTGAATATCCAGAGGCAGTGACTTCCTTGTCAAGGGACAGCACAGTTTCACGCTGCAGGAGATTGACTTCCTGGCTGGCTGTGCAATCCTCCGCCGATGCAAGGACCAGCAAAAGCGCAAGCTTCAACAGTGCCATTGGCTCGAGGCAAAGGGGTGTCGATTGCAATAGATCGTGAGAATGGCTTGAGCCCATGCAGGAAAGCCAAACAGAGCCACCAAGCAACTCGCAGAAGAAAAAAAACGGGCACGTGTCCAAGACCAACTGCCACCATGCGTGCGCAGGTAATTGGTGCTCCGACTGCTTGCGGCCTTCTGCAACTGCCGCAAGAGCCCAACGGCGCGTGGCACGTCCCGTTTCCTGGCGCGAGCGCTTCTTTCGGGCTTGAGAGCTGCAATCATGTGGTCCGCAGCGGCGTCAATACACCGACAAACTGCAAACATGTGTAAACATATAAACATAAACGAAATATACACACAAGACTTAGAGCAACAACCGCAGCACACAAACTTGACAACAATCCGTTCAAACTCAACCAAAACAAAACACATCCGCGTGCCTTGGCCCAAACAAAAAAGGCCAGATCAGTCAGATGAGAATACAACAGAGTGCCATGCTCCCGCCCCAAGGACACCCCGATAATGTTTGCTCGGCAGGCCTCCGTATGGTGCAGCGAACGCGCAATGCAATGACTTTGGCAACATCATGGTAAGCTGCCGAACACGTTTTTTTTGCATGGTGGTTCAACAGATTTATTGAAAATTCTAGACAAGGGCCCGAGAGGATGCCCACCTAGCTGGAGCTTGGATATGCCTACTGCATAGCACACGCAACATACAGTGGATGGACAAAATCCAGTACTGGGATAAACAACCGACCAACCGGTGCAGGATATTGCCCATCCACAATAGCACACTCTCAATCGCACTAGGAGGCAGCCGACGCATCCAACTGCTCAAGGGGCTCCCCAAACATCAATTAACACTCTGCCTACGATGATGAATGTGCAGGATCTTGCTGAAAAGCAAGCAACCGTGCAAAAGCCAACTCACGTATATCACTACGCGGAAAAGCTGCAGCGTGTCTTCGACATGTGGGCCTGTCTTCACACGGACAAATGTTGAGAGGGTTCTGCTTCGTGTTTCCCAATTCCCACTTCCCCCGTATCTCATCCAAAGGCCCCCCATAGCCATCCGGGGAAGATGGTCTCGCCTGCATCCCCGACACTGCGCACGTCCGGCACGGAGCTGACCACATTCACGGTCTGGCGAAAGGCCGAAGTGGCCACCGATGAGCTCTCCGAACACCCTCAAAATCTCTTTTTGAAAGACAAAGAGCGGTGTGTCCGTTTTTCCTCACAACATGTGTTGCTCGCAAGACCTGGCAGTGTGATATGTACTCACAATCGCAGTCTGAGGACCAAATGTACGGTGCTGCCTTTCTGAATGTTGTAATCAGCCATCGTTCTTCCGTCTTCAAGCTGCTTGCCAGCCCAAGACAAGTACCGGGTTAAACAACGTGCCTATTGTCCACCCACAGCACACTCTCAATCGCACAGTCTCCCGCCTTGCCGCCTTGCCGCCTTCGCAAGGCAGATTTCTCCACGGTGCGATGGAGAGGGTCATGGTCACAAAGCCTGAAGCCTGTGGTTGCATTCACCCACAGGTTTGGTATTGTAGCACGTCAATGGGTTTTGTAAGTTCCACTCAAAGTGGGAGATAATGGGAGCTGCTATGTCACATCCTCAAATAGCTTGGCAAGGCACAGATGTGAGGTATCTGCAGTCTGCGATAGGGCCAGCCCGACCTCAGCAAGAGGTCAGTGGCAAGAGGGGTTCTTTTTCAATTTGAGGATTCTTCTTCTTAACCAAGATGCTATTTGAAAGGTGTCTGGGAAGCCTCTTGTTGCATGCCCCATCTACAAAGGCCAAAGCGTCATCAGCAGACCCTGCAGGCAATGCATACTTCGATTCTCAAAATGACGGTCCTGCTCGTGTTGGGACGAGCGCATTCAAGCAGTGACCTTACCTACACTTCACCTGGCCTACTTCAATCAGCTCTCGGGCCTCGACTTCCCACATCAGTTCGACCTCAAGGTCGGTGCAGGGCGCCAACTGCGCGGGACATCCTGGCTGTCGATGGCACAAGCTCCGGCATCGAGTCGATCCTGAAAAGCTGGGATCGGCCGGGGGTCAAGCTACTCATACATGACGAGTGGGAAGGTTTTGTGACCTCGGAGTCTACACCAGAGCTTCCGCAAAATTCTGGGTCCGGGCGGATTATCCGCCCATCGCCCACCACTTGCCAAATAAACCAGTGAAAAGTAGCCAAAGAAAACCAACAAGTGGCAACAATGCAACCAATAGCTTATAAAACCTACATGACCAGTAGAAAGGATACGCGCTAAGTAGCCAAATAAACCCATCCAGGCCGTAGCATGTGGAGCCTCAACGCATCAACCTGAGCTCCTCGAGTCGCGCGTTGAGACCATCCGCCTTTCGGTCATCGCCCTTCCGGGGATCCATCGCCAAACGCTGATGCCTGCAAAGGCTGTCCAAGGCGCCATCCATGAATGTGGGGTCTGCACGCTCTTTGCGGGCAAGTAAATACAAATACATGTATATATAAATATACATATATATATATATATGTATGCAAATACGTGTATATATATAATATTACTTATATACGTACAACACACAGGGACCCTAACTCTGAGAAATTCCGGCCGAGTCTGCGCTCAACAATTGGCAAGTGGTGGAGTTAAATCAATTGCATTGACCAACCAAGCAGAGTTGTGATTTAATCATTGTTGGTAGCCCAACAATCCTAAGTGTGTTGTTGCATGCCAGTCCCGAATCTGGCGCCATGTTGCTACTACTCAAATGAAAGCGGCCTGTCTGCGACATCGCAATCGCAGGACCATGGCTCTCAGGGCTGAAAGGAATCTAGTCCTGAAATGCGGCACTTGGGTTCCATGGTAGGATCCTGCGAGTCGATCACTTCGGCCTGCGAACTCCGAAACATGTTCCTCGTTTTCTTTTTAGACCCCGGCTGCACACGGCCCCTTGAACAGCCAGGGCAGGGCGCTAGGGCGCTCGCTCACACGTCGGCTGTATGAGGGCATTGCCGGTACTTGCGGATATTGCCCATGCCTTCAGAAGCATAAAGCACTTGACGGTTGAGATGAGAAATGGCGGAGGAGGCCGTGTTGCCCCACGTCCTAGTCTAATGGTCAGGTGCGACATGATGATAAGAAAAGACAGCACGGGCAAGCTCATTCCTTCCTTCACACAATCCTGCCCATCTTCTCCCACCCACCAAAATCATCCCACGCAAGCCGTCTGGATTCAAGGCGAGGATGGCATTCCCATTCCCTTCATACGCCTCCACACGTAAATTCCGGTGCCTTTTCAAACAAGCACCCAACCTGTCTATCTATGAGTTATTCCAGAGTGTGAAAGGAATGAGGAAATAGGTGAGCGATGAATATGAGTTGGGCTTGAGAGTGACAAAAGGAGTGGAAGAAAGATAATGATGATGCCGTTCTTAGTATCAGATTGTAATTTAATACGCATCTGTTATTGTGTAGATTGATATTCTTTATCTTCATATATGAAATATGCTTTCAACATGTTCTAATCTCAAAAATATTGTATTTGGAAGACCCAGTATTTCACGTGTGGATCTAATACTTGCAGCATGCCAAATACACAAGCAACGACACATATTCCGGCTGTGAGCTTCCTGGAGAAAAATGGCCCGTTGTCCAGAAGTTCGAGAGTGCCATGTGTAAAAAGTCCGTCTGTGTTGCTTCTTGCTTGTTTGCCTTGTTGCTTGAAGACAACCCACTCGTGCGCAACACTCCTGTGCCATGGCCATCCTTCTCAAGTCTGACGCTAATGCATAAAGTTGAGCATAGCCAGCAGTGACACTTCCGGCTTAGAATTGCTTCTCTGCACACTGACGCTGTCTCACCAAACACAGCCTTGACCTGGTCCATATCTCCAGAACTTAGACACGCGGGATAAAAAACGACCTAACTCCAGGGTTTTGGCACCCGCTTAGACCCTCATGTTGAATTTGCAACTACATGTCGATATATATATATATATATAACCACGAAATAAGATACAATATTACACAATCAATGTATAACATTTATTGGACAACAAAACAAACCAATATTGTGTCTAAACATATATGACATCCTGTTTAATATCGATTAAGTTTCTAAATCGACTTACAATATAGGCGAGCTTTTTGTCTCCCTTCGATGTTGTGGATCCCAATCATTAGCTGTGCGTGCCGAACGAATTCGGAAGATGAACGCAGAATGCTCTCAGCGGCTATTTCTTCTGGATGCAGTGCCACATTCCAGAGCCTCAACTGCAGAGTGGCATTTTCCTGGAAAGTTTATCGCAAGCCAATGGGGAGCAACCCACTAGCCTTCTTGACTTTAACCTCGCAACTGCACATTAAACGTAAGTCACCCTGATTGAGACAACCACCCAAGGGCGTGGCTGCGCTGCAAGACTAGAGTGGGAAAGAAGAGGAAGTCCGGCTGCACAGCACGGACTTGCTCCTGCCAGAACTTACATCAAAACTCAATATGACCAACGGGTTAAAGTTTAGTGCCTAACTGTATTTGCACTCAGAATCAAACAGATTCTATCTTGCCGCAACCCGCTCAAAAGCCGCAGGTAGTGGTGATTCTGAAAGTTGTCGTTCGAATATTGCTTGGCTCGCCCATCAAGGCGGGGAGAAGCACTTGAAAACTGCTAAAGCGTTGCCACACAAAGGGTGGCCCATCTGAGCCAAAACGCAACATTGGTTCACGATTCTGATTGCCAAGGAAAAAAACTGCGTGCCTCTGAGGCGCGCGCGCGCCCCACAAATGTGTGTATATCAGCTGCCCGTCTTTTCACGGCGTGCCATTGTTCCCCGATCGGCCCAATTTTAAGATACCTAAACGATTCTCGTTGTCACGCCCAGGCTCAGCATCTCCAAAATAAGAGGATCGCAGAAAACCCTTGGTCTCCTGCGTCCCGCAGAACAGCGTCCAATCCCCAAAAACATGCACAGCTGTAACTCAACAAACCGAAGGAACCCTCCGAACCGTCCATATCCGAAGTCCATTTTGCTCCTGGCCGTTCATGTCCAGCAACAGCAGGCGCACCCAAGGCGCCCTCTTCTCGCCCCTCAGGCACGGTTTGAAACCCACCCAACCTTAGGAGTGAGTGGTCTTACAGCTTTTGTACAGCAATAACCCAAGGGGCAATCCGGGCTAACCCACCGCATCATGGCATGGTCGGGGCGGTGCGTTTGGGGTAACTAGGACCTTTGGGAAGAGCCGCTCGCATCGCAAACCCTGGCAAAGACGCGCAAACACTGACACGCTGAGGTGACGTGATGGAACAATGAGGCGACATGAAAAATCGCTGAGGCCGTGGGCGCTTTCTGCTTCTCGCACTGGTCGTGCTGCAGCACATCGCCTGGGGCGCAAACCCTGACCAGATTGGGCTGTTCAAGGGAAGCCAAAGGAAACCAAAGCCCAGCTGGTCAGAGGACAAATATGCAAGCAAAGCTTGCAAAGGGCGAAGCACTTATCACGCTCACTCGTCCTTCACCGGGATATGAAATCAACATGGAGGGGAGGGGAAAAAAGTGCTGCTCAAGCTTCGGCTGTTGGCAGAACTCTTACTCTTTGCCCAGGCGGCTCAGCGCGCGCACGGGCACCCCATTCATCTCCATGAGAAAGCAATGCCTCGGCAAAAAAAGTGGCTGTGGTTCATATGGCATTCGTAGCCGTTGCACTTGCACTATTTGTGGTTGTTGTGGCCACTGTGCTTGTCATGCTTGTGTAGCTGCTGCTGAATCTGCGGTGGTTCTTGGTCTCCTGCCCTGTCTATTTTTTAATACGTAACAACACAATTCACATAGAAACATTGGCCTGCGCAAGCAATGGCCAACATCGTGGGATTTCTGGAAATCGATGACACCTTCCAAGCTTGAGCAAAGCCGTGAGACCTGGAGTGGCTTTGCCCCGTGGGAACATCTGTTTAGAGGGTACCCTTTCTGATTCAATAGGGTGGAAGCCTAAGGGTCCCCGTACCAGCAGCGGCAGGGAGGGTACTGTACAAATCCAGGATCAATGGCACCAAATGGCCAACACTGCTTGAAGATCTGCCTACTTCGTCACCATGAAGGGGGGGGTTTTGCCACAGAAAGTGTCAATTCAACCCCCTCCCAATCCCCACAGCAGACCCTGGGCTTTCGGGCGGATGCATCTCCCGGCTCTCCGCGGGCGACCCAGCCAACAAGTTTTGCACGAAGACCCCCCCAGCACGCGCTGCGCTGGGGCCGCACCGCTCCAAGATGCACCTGACGGCCCCTTGAACCCCCAAGTTGAGTCCCATGTGAACCAAGGACCAGGCCCAGTCGATCGCGGTGCAAAAGCTGTTCCTGGCTTCCTTAACCCTTTGTGCAAACGTTTATGAAGACCTTCGGGCTGTGGCTTGTCGTGGTTTTTGGACCAACATCATATGCATAAGAATATGATGAACAGTTGTGCCATCAAATGTATCATGCTAATGGTGAAAGGCAAACACTTTTGTGGAGCCTGACGGCTCAATCAACTCGAATCCTCAATTAATGTGTATCGCAATGTGTTTTGTGCGAATCATTCTATCATTCAAAGGCTTCTAAGTGTGAGCATATTCCTATAGTGTAAGCTCATATTCTTACGCTTATCCTGGGCGTTGAATTTCCAGTCGAAGTGGAATAGGAAGCTATGTATTAATTTCTCTACTTACTGAGTGGATGGGCAGGGTTCCCTTTCGGCTGTCAAGTATCCCGGTTAGCCGAATTGCACATGGCACATCAAAGGCCTCATCTTAGGTCGCAAGCTTTAGGGCCAACAGGCTGCAGGACTGTTAAGCCAAGGATGCACAAGTGCCGAGTTGCACATGCATATGTATGCATATGTGCATATATATATATATACTGTATATATATATATATATGTATACATATGTGTATGTGGTCTTGGTCTCCAAAGAAGCCCTGAAAGAAACGGGGCTCCCCGCAAGCATAACAAAACTTCCCCCTTAAAGATCCTCGATGCCTGGGCGTGCGCCGCAGCACCATGCCGGCCCAAATCACCAGCTCGGCGTCGTCCTGAGGGGCTCGGTGCCGGCTCGGGGCCCAAAGCTCGGGGCTCGGGGCTCGGGGCCATGGGAGGGCCCCGAAGCTGATGTACCAGATCCATCAAGGACAATCCGTGATGGAAGGGGAATTGCTCTGGACCGTGAAGTGCCTACACTTTAAGGCTGCAGGTCCTGCCTTTCAATCGCATGGCTCCGGATATCCGACTTCAGCTCTGGCTGTGGCGGTGCGACTGGTGAGACATTCACTCACTATTCAGTGCGCGCTGCACAGCTTGCAAATCATTGACACCCTCACTGGGAATCGACAAGCATCCTGATTGACCACAAGCATCTGGAGCGGCCACTGCACTCGCAAACTCAGCCGTCTACACACCCACGGGCACTGCGCAGGGATGCTTCTCAATACACCTGGTGGAGTCTTCTGGATCAACGGTGCACGCCTCAGCGACTCAAAAGCCCAGGCAAGGCCTTTGCAACTGTAAGGATGAGCCGTCCCCAGCCCATCCAGAAGCATCCCCCTCCCAGAAGTTTTCCGAAATCGGAAGTCCAACAAAAAACATGTCCCAGTTGCTTTGAAAAAACGCGGCGACCCCTCCATCCCTCCCCACTCGCAGAGCGGATCGACTGTTCGCTTGGCCCAGGCGCCATTCCAAGCGCACCGCTCTTCACAAAGCCTCAGTCTGGTCACTGCAAGCGGATCTTTAGCACGCCCCCCTCCCTCAGACTGGAATGAATCCATTGAGCCGCGGGAAGAAGCTTGCTTGACAGCCGGAAGAGGCTTGCTTGATTTTCGAGCTCATGTGGCCGGTCAAACCCAGCAAACCCCTGGTGAACATCAAAATTGGTGGCAAATGGATGCTCATCCACCCCAAAATGGGATCGCCATACTTATGCAACCCATGGCCATGTGGGCTAAACCACGTGCCCAGGGGCCATTGTTGCAGTCGGCGCCGGTCTTCACCACTCTCTGATTGCAGGCGGTGCCGGAGAGGCGAGCGCCTCTGCACTCCAAATAACCTCGAAGGCACCACAGCGGGGCTCCGGTAGGGATCTCACGCAGCTCGGGCGCGAAGAAAAATAAATCAATGGAGTCTTACTATCAAAACCTGACATCTCAACCAGTCTACCCAAAACCGACTCCTTAAGCTTTTGAGAGCGTGAAGCAGCCATCCTTAATGTGTCTCCATGAGCATCACCCAAAACACTCATTTCGGCCATGGGGGTTCAAGGCTACCCCTTTTGCTGGCAGTTTTGACGGAGAAGCCTCCTCCAAACAATAGGAAAAAGGCGCTCGGGCGGGCACCGCGGGTCTTGGAATCTTAAGATGCCCACGGGTGATGCTTGAATCAAGCAAAACGGTCCAACGATCAAAATCCCTCCTGAGCAAAACGCGACTAAACTTGATACCCAGAGTAATTCCCAGTGCACTGGATGCGGAGTCACATAGACTGAATGCTGTCAGTGAGTCAAACCAGTAAGCTAAGCAGGCGGCATCTGGATTCGGATTGGCAGGCGCCAGCTGATGCCCCGCATTGCTGAAACACGCCAGTGCCCAACCACTTGCAGCTGTGGAAGGTGCTTGTGCAGGATCCTCTCTCAGAGACAAGTCATGTTTGAATCACAACGCCACTCAAGTCAGCCGTGGAGGCGTCTACAGGGTGGGTCTGAAAATGCTTCCAAACGGTGTAGTGGGTCCTTTGCTTTCCCTTTTCACCATCCCAAAAGGAGGTGTCCTGGGACAAGCCCCAACATGGCAGTGCATTGCTGCAAGCAAAGTCCTTGATTGCATGGATCCTCCGACGAGCAATTCAGCATAGTTCCTGACACGTCGCCAACAGAAGGCCTTCCTGAACTTTGGGCAAGGCTACTCAACATCCAGTAACCCACGCCGCATGATTTGGCCACATGCCATGAGTCTTGCTGACCGCCATGCCAAAGACTGACCCTGTTACTCGCAAGCTCGCATGCTCAAGAGCCTCATGAAGGAAATCAACATGCTCACGGGTCAACATGAAAAAATACACCTCGTGAGGCTCCGCGCCATGCTTTCGCATCTTCGCCGGACCAGAAAATGCCACTGGGGAAACCACCCCGCCGGAGGCCCGGGGAACCACCTGCCGAGAGTCCCATGCACTTGAAGGGCACCGTGATGGGCTGCTTGCCGAAGTCCTGCGCCAGGCATGCGGCCACATCCCACCGGGCTATCTCCAAACGGCCAAAATTGGCTTAGGCTTGGTTGAGGGTTGGGTGTTGGTTTAGGATGCGTGTTTGGGCTTGACTTTGGGTTGGTTTAGGTTGGTTTAGGTTGGTTCAGGGAAGGCATAGACCTCAGAAGTGTGCTCACCTGCCCCTAAAGCTTTCAGCTGTCTGGGGAATAAACATATGTGAAAATACAAATATATATATATGTATATATGTATTTAAAAATGGACATGTGTGTGTGTGTGTGTTCATAGTCTGCAGCACATCATGCATTAGCTAGGTCATGTCTGGCGCGCAAGGCTTGGAGCTTGTCTCAATGCCTTTCCCCCCTGTCGCAGAAGGTTCCTCGGCAAGGCCGCCCAAAGCCTCAGGCGAAACAAAGAGTGGACGGCTGTTGCCTATCCTAAATCCAAAATCTCTGCCCTCAAAGGACGGACTCCCTTTAGTCTTTTGTGACCCTTTCAAGTCAAGGGCGCTGTGATCAAGGCCTAAGTGGCCTCAGCCTCAATGGTTCAAGACCAAGCATAAGAAACGCGCAAGGGGATTGCTCCAAGTTTGTGTTCGAATACTTCCCAGGAGGTGCGATCGCTCACCCTTGTGCCGTCTTGCCCAGCCTGCAGTTCTTAAGTCAAAGTATGAAAGTCTGGTTTGACCATGGCACATGTTTGCCCTACCATCGATCGGGCAATCCCTGGCAATACAATCGCTGGCCAAGGAGCCGATACGGTGGCGCGGCCACGGCTGCCTTGCCTGAGAGCTGGATAGGCGTACCCCTGTGTTTTGTTCCTGAGGCTCCAAGCTGTGGAAGCGAGCTGTCAGCTGGCGCACGAGCCCATTTTTGCACCCTCAGAGGTACTTGGATCGAAGTCGGTCTAGTCTAACCAGTCACTTGGGAAATGGACTGCAACTCCGCTGTTTGTCCCACTCCGCTCCCCGAGTCACTTGGTGAGAGCCAGCGGTTTGAGCACACTGCATGGGAGGAAAGGAGCCATGCTCAGCTGCATCCGAGCTTCCTGGGTGAGGAATCGTCACCGAGTCCTGAGGCCGACCACGCTTGCTCGTCAAGTGTCGTTTTGCATAAAACTAGGGGCCCTTTTCGTATCCCTGTGAACAGGAAGACGGCAGCAGGGTCCAAAAATGGGCCATCTTGACAACCTTCCTATTGAATATGCCGCTGGCAACTGGCCCCAGTCCTCCCTCCAGCTCGCCATCGGCTGTGATGCCGTACTCTTTGGCAAATATGACGGTAACTAAGGCAGCCGAGACTGCCTCAGATTCGCACAACAAAGCTCGCTGCGCACCGGACAGAGAACAAACCTGTCATGAAGACCAGGCGAGCTCACGCACAGCTGAAGGCTGGGAAAGCCAGTCAAAGTACCATCAAACTGCAAACCAACACATCCATCTGAAAAGCAATCTCGAGATCTAGCAGCCCGCGTCTCTGTTACTGCAGATGTGAGAAACCCTGTCACAGCCTCCAGGCGCCTGAAGCCTCGGCCAAGCCGCCAATCGACATGAACAAGGCATTTTCAGGCTGGAAGAGGTTGCCAACCGCTCGCCATGGACAATGACTTGAGCTTCAGCGGCTGTTCGCACGTTCTTTGCGTCAAGCGCACGGGGAAAAAAACAGACACTCAGTCCAAACCAGCTCCGGCTGAAACGCGAACTCCAACTTGCACACGCACCAGTTTTGCCGGTCCTCTGACCCCAGGATGCTTGGAGTCACGTACTCGAGCACCTCGGGTGTGAGATCTCACAAGAATGCATTGGTGTGTCATTTGGCCGTTTGATGTCGTTTGATATCGTTCAGTGGTTTGGTGGTCTGGTGGCTTGGCATCTCTCGCTTGGTGACTGTCCCGGGAGCCCAAACATGCCAAATGCATCCCATCCCTATCCGCCCTGATCACCGTGGGTTCCTTCCGATTGGAAAGCTAGCCAACATGAAACCGACCACTGACATCCTTCAGGATGACATATTGCGTTCCTTCCTTTCACAAAGGCTGGGGGGGCACTTCCTTCGGGCCAAGAAAAAAAAGCAGCCGCAGCCATCCTCGCTGTGCCAGTACACTGCAAAACATCGAGTTGAAAAGGGGTTGAGACACTCATCACCTCCTGCAAGGGCCGCTCACCGCAACGCGGCAAACCGCGTCGCAACCATGCGCATGTCTGCTCAACCTGCCCACTCCTTGCCCTATGGCCGCAGGATGGTGCTAGACCTTGGCCTCCAAGAAAGCCATACTTCGAGGCTCTATAGACATGTCAAGCTCCAAAAACCAAGCCCGCTGGTCTCACAGTGACAGTGGCCCACAAAAAGACCACCCTCGGGCCCATGCATCTTGCTTTGGGCGAATTTCTCGAATCGATGCCACGCCCTCCCCGTTGCCTCGCGCTGGTCTCGCAGTACCCGGATCACCACCTCCTGGGAAGACGGAGATGGGACCACTGCGGTGGAGTAGGGTCCAAGGGGATTGTTGCACATGCCAGCATCCAACCTCTCCGGTCATGCGAAACCGAAACTAGGTTTGACCAGTCTGGATACGATTCTGAGTTGCAGGGCATGGTGATGCCTATCTGCAGCCAAAGCCTAAAGTAAATCAGCTGCATCCCGTGCAGCAAAGGTACCTTCGGTCAGGTTCCGTACCGGAAGGACCTGTGACCATAAATGCTGTATATATATATATATTATGTATATTATATATATATATATGTATACGTAATATAATATATACATACACGGGCTCCAACAACTGACGGCTAGGATGCTGCACACGTTGTCACATTGTGCAAGGTAATCTAGAACCTGCTTGTTGGAACCATCCCGAATGCAAACACAGCCCAACAGGCATCACGGGATATGCCACTCATAATGAAAACGGCTTCCTCTAGTTTATGACACCATGTTTGAGACACCGCTTCCGTCCCTGAAAGCGAGTCAGTTCCTAATCGATGATGTCATGTACGTCCTTCCCTCCGAATGGATTAATTGATGGCAACCTCGAGGAATCCTCCCCTCTGAACCTCCCATTTCCAACCCAGCCCCCTAGCTCGCTCCGGTGGGGCGGCTTTCGCACCCTTCTTGGGCGGCAGCAAAGCCTCCTGGCAATTCTCACTCTGGTGGCTCATATCAACCCATCCCTCATAGAAATGCCACTTGACCCCTTGCCCTTGAAAATCCTTGTTTGGAGCGAAGGTGACGTGCATGTATCTGCACCTGCACACTCGAAGTCTGGCTTCGTTGCATAGGATCCATGTGTCTGGACCTTTTTGGGGGATGACTGATCATTTCCGTGCCTGTGCGATGAGATCCGCTATACGAGAGAGATTGAGAGAGAGAGAGAGAGACAGAGAGACAGAGAGGGACAGTGAGAGGGCGAGAGAGAGAGAGAAAGACGGGGACAGAGACAAAGCGGGACAAAAATAGAACATGACAGAAAAAGAGAGAGAGAGAGAGAGTGAGAGAGAGAGAAAGAGAGAGAGAGAAAGAAAAATAAAAGAAAGAAAAAAGAAAGACCGAAAGAAGGGAAAGAAACATATAACATGTTGTTTTAAACAAAAAATAAAAGAGGAATCAAGGAGCGTCGAAAGAATGCATGCGATTGGTCGCGCAAAGGCCTTCAACTGCAAACGGCCGGGTAGTCTCCAAAGCTGGTCAACAGGACCCAATTCAGTGGGAATTAGGAAATCAAGTGTGAGCACTGGGCCAAACGTGGTTTATTGATGCGTGATCCTCGTCGCAGCATCAGATGGTTCATAGAATGCAAGAATAGCCCCACCAATTCGGTTTTTGGGCGAACCACCTTGCATGAGCAAAGAGGCATGAGTTGCATCGATCCGGCCAGTCGCATTTCCAGATCCATCCGGCCAAGTTCACCAAGCGATTTGCACTGTCAGGTCTGTTAAAAACAGAAAGTGGAAGATACTCGAGAACACTTGTGGTCAAGGCCGCTGTCGCAGTGTTTGTTACCCCAACGCACCCGTACCAAGTGGCGGAAGAGACCTCATGCGTTTGGAGGCGACTGAACATATTGCAGCCTCCACGTCCAGCGCGCAGGCAATGGTTTTGCCGGCGACGCTCAGCAGCACCTCACACCGAGTCATGTTGGAGGTTGGAGGGCTCTTTCTGGGAGTTCTGGAACTGTGGAAAAGGCCAGGTTTCAAGCCTTAGAGGCCAGACCAGTGCGGCTTGAACACGTCGGACGCCGCGTGGCGCGATTGCCTTTGGAAGGCGCAAACCCGCGTTGAAGTCTGTGCAACAAACAACAAACATCAGTGTGTAAATGTGTATAGATAAACACTCAGCCGCACTCCTTTTTTGGCACCAGCAACCAGAACGCGTTGCATTTAACAAGCATCATTTCGAGGTACTCGTTCCCAAGGGTAGCATTGCTTGCTCCCTTGGCCTAGGCCCCCTGGGCCAACATTTCTTGGAGCCCCTCGTACCGACCTTTCCACGCTAAGCAGGAAAAGGAAGGACGCCCCCAAGACGCTCCGCAAAAGCGAAGCTGACCTTATCTGCCACAGCTGGACATTCGCAAGTCCCTCAGTTTCAGGGGGAGGGCCGGGGTTGAAAGCCAAAGACTATGGCATTAAAGGTGGCACTTCCTTCATGTTTAGAACCGGCGCCGTACATCGATACTCAACTGCGCTCCCGTTGGCACGCCAGCAAGCCGGAATTTGCCCGGAGATCTCCTGCGTGCAGCAAGCGCACAGCCTACTATGGCCTGCATCAGTTTCTCGGTCGAGGCAGGGCCGATTCGGAATCTCACTCACGCGCCAGGCCTTCGCAAAGAAGCGCAAGACCCCTGCCTTCACCAAACTCCACACGTGCTCGAGGTAGTCACTGACTAGAACATCCACGTGGGCCCGCTCTCATGACAGCTCGAGCTGCATCGGGTAAAACTTGCAAGAAGCTGCGCCGCGCCTTCTGCTGCACCAAACGGCGCAGAAGCGACCGTGTGCAACTCCACGCTTCCATTTACACGTCTGGCAAACGCCAGGATCTTGCTCATCCAAGAGCGGCCCCCTGCTGAAAGCCAAAGACTGTGGCATTAGAGGTGGTGCTTATTTCGTGTTTAGAACCGGAGCCGTGCATCCATATAGCATGGACGGAAACACGTGATTTCACTTTTTAGATCTTCTGCACGTCTTCCTTGCAGGTCGGAGCCGACAAATGACGGCTCACATCCCGCCAGTGACATGTAGCGAGTTCGTCCGCAAACGGCAAGCGTCCCACGCGATTCACCACGTTGCAGGTCCAAGGCAGTAGCAAGTTGAAGATTAAAGCAAGGCTCGAGCCTGCAAAGGCTTCCAGAAGCAACAGGTGGGCGCTTACACATGCGAACGTGCTTCGTATTTGGTTAGTCTGTTGCTTGCGTTGAACCTTACATTTGGTCTGCACCAGACCACGCCGGAACGTCCGGAACCTGCCTTGAACCCTACACCTGGCCTGCACCAGACCCCAAGCCACCCCCAAACCTTATCCGGGCTGAGACCCCTTAGCTTTCAGCTGTTGGGGAAAGAAGCAATCCTTGCAAAGTGTTCCCCTTGCCTTTCACCCACTGTGTGATTCTTGAGAGTTCCCTTTTTGAGACTCTGTCAAACGGAAGTCGCAAGGGTTCTATATCCTATGAGCAGAACCCAAAACCTTCCCACTTTACCTGGGTTCCTCTTCCCTTCCCCAGCAAAAGGTCGTTAGACCTTTTGCAGGCTCAGTAATTCTATCGCAAACGCCATGATGTGCTTCCAAGCGGTCCAAGGGGCCAAGGTCACACACAACAGACCTCAGCTTCCCTCTAATTGGTGGTTAGGGAGTCGTTTCCCATCTACCCTCTACAAGAAGCAGGGGTTCAAATCCCAAACCTCCAATCCAAAACCACCAGTTGAGGGCATGAAGACCCGACACGTCCTTCTTTCTTCCGAAACCAAACCGGGGCTTTTCCTGGGCTGCCACACATCTCCCGGCCGCAGTCGGCCCGTGGAGGCCCCAGTGGCCAGCACCCGGTTCACGCAAATGGCCCGCGGCACCTGGCCCTGCTGGCCGCAGCGTTGCAGCACCGCCTCCGAAACTCGGCCGAAACTCGGCTCGAGGAGTCGCTGGGTTGGGTCAAAACTTTTTACCAGGCAGGATATGGGGACCGGTTCTTTCTTCCTGTACAAACCGTTTTGGGGCTAATCAACTTGGACCCACAGCCGTATCTCCAAACTCGACAGCCAAATCACAAACCATGCAGCCTCGGGGAGGCAGGGCCCAAATCAGCTCTCAGCCACAAACAGCCATAGTCATCCATGGTCACCAATGGAGATTGATTCACTTGGCCACAAGTGGTCACATGAGCTTTGATCGAAATTGACACCAATCAATTTACTCCAAATGGTCACGAATGGTCACAAACGGTCACTAATGATCATTGATGGTCACTGACGAGTGTTTGAAAAAATGAATCGCTAATCGCCACCAATCGTCAATTGGATTTGCACTTGCCTTGAAACAAGCCGGACAACTTGGACAATGGCTCGCTTGGGTCACAATCAAAATGGAATCCCAATCAGGGCACCCATTGTGCCCTTGGTCCTTCTACACCCCTCTTTAAAGATCATATATTATACAAATTGGTAACCGACACGTGATCTTTGAAAACCACCCCCCAGCGCGGAGTGAACCCTCAGTGACACATACTACAGGACAGGGCGCGGCTAGAAGGGAAAAATTGGCAGTCCCCTGCAAACTGATCGAAATCAGCCGGGACATTCGAACGGAACCTTGCCCACTGCCACCCAAAGCCAAAACCATTACCCCGGTTCCCCGCCCCCTCTCCCATCTCCCCTTTTAGCTACCGCCTGCATCCACTTCTGCGGCAGCTTGCCGGCGCCCCGGGCCAGCGTGGCAAGGTCCACAGCCTGCGGAGGATCCCAAAGAACCAACCTGAGCATCAAAGCCTGGTATTCAAATGCTCGTAATCCCAGAACCATGCTTCAGGAATTAAGGAGGCGGGTATCCGCAGCTATATATGGCCAAGGGATTCTCCCTTACCTTCATCTACCCGACTTTTGATTGTGCCTCTGGCGATTCGCTGTCCCTCGGGAGGTGTCCAACGGGCCTTGGACAAAACCAAAAGGAAAAATGGCACTGGTTACCTGCTAAGGCTTGCCTATCCGGAGAAAAAACACCGAAAGTAAAAGAAAGCAAGGAGGGAACCAAGGGGAAAAGCTTTTCTCATGAAAGACAGACCAAGGAAAACCATCCGTTGAACAACTCACCAAGGAGGAAAGAATCCTCCAAACTGGGTGGAAGGGCAACCGCCAGAACAGGATTTCAACCCGACAAGAGGGCTATACCAAAACGGGAAACCACCGAGACGTGTCAAACCACACCCAAATAGGGAAAACGGATTGCATTGTTTTAAGCTTTAAGAGTATCCTTTTTGGGTCAACGTGTGTGTGTGTGTTGGTGCTGTTGTGCTTGTGTTGGTGCATGTGCTGCTGCTTGCGTGTGTGTGTGTGTGTGTGTGTGTGTGTGCACAGTGTGAGGGGGAACCCTTTTTTCTCACCCTCCAAACCTTTTTTTCAACCCTTCCCTGTTTTTTCAACCCTTCACCGTCACCCTTTCAATTTAACCCTCCCCCCGTCTTTTTTAACCCTCCCCCCTTTCTTTCTGACCCTCCACCTCTTCCTTTCAACCCTCCATTTCTTTTTTGCCAACCCTGTGGCCGACGCCTGCGGCAACTGCACTAAGGCGTGGGTTTATTGTGGGTTTATTGTTGGCTTAGGCTAAGCTTAAGTTGTGGGGTGGGATTACGGTTGGATCCGGATTTAGAGTTCGTGTAGGGTGGGTTTAGGGCGGTTTGGGGTGGGTTCAGGACTGGCTTGTTGGTTTAGGGTTGGTTTAGTGATTTAGAGTCGGTTTGGGATTGGTTACGGGTGGGTTATGTGTGCTTTAGGGTGGTTTCGAGTAGGTCAGTGGTGGTGTAGGGTGGGTGTAGCTTGGCTTGGGCTGGGTCAAGGGTTGGACAAGAGATATTTCTGGTTTGTTTTGGGCTTGTTTAGATTGACTTAGAGTTTGGCTGGTTTGAGGGTTGGCAAGGTTTGGCTTAGGGCGGGCCTAGGGTTGGTTTGGGTTGGGTTGGGTGCGGGGCGGGCTTAGGTTGTTTTAGTTTTAGGGTGAGAAAAACAAGGTTGCGGGGTGAAACAAGCAAGCTCGCGGGTGAAAAAAACAAGGCGGAGGGTGAACAAAAACAAGGTGGAGGGTGAAAAAAACAAGGCAAAGGGTGAAAAAAACAAGGTGAGGGGTTGAAAAGAAAGGATTTCTCAGGGTTGGAGAAACAAGGTTCCCGCAGACGGTTCCCAAGCAGGGTCTGAGGGTTGAAAAAAAGTAAGGGTTAAAAAAACAACTTCGGAGGGTGAAAAAAAAGGGAGCCCCAGTGTGAGCAAGGGCAAACAAGCAGTTGACAACTAGTTTCAACTAGCTTCCAGAATCGCACACGTAGTTTTCTGAGTCGTACCCAAGAGTTTCTGAATCGCGCTAGAATAGTTGCGGAATCGTGTGAAGTGTGTTCCTGACCAACCTAGAAAGTGGTGTCCTGAGCCGCGCCGGATTTTTAAACTGAAAATAGCTTCCTGCAACGCAGCAGAGATGTGTCTGATCCCACCCGAGCAGTTTCTGATTGAATCCTGCAACATTGTTTCTGAAACGCAGTTCCTGAATCGCTGCTTGTTTCTGAGATGTGGGACTCTGGCCCACACCGAGTTCTTTGTTGCATTTGAGCCTGAACAACTGCAATCTTATCAACTGGATCGCTCATCGCTGGAGTCCTTGTTCCAAAAACACGTCGAATCATCCACACGGAAACCGCGACTGATCTCCGCCCGGCCGTGATCTCCACATCCAGCGACCGGACCTGGCGATGTTCCGAGGTGGAGCCGTCCAAGCGACTGCCGAAAGAAGCGCCAGCCACACGTTTTGACGTGGCCAATCAGGCGGCCCTCGCGCTCACATAACCCATATGGCTGTGGGTCAAAACCAATGGTACCATTTTGGGGTAGGTGCACCACCCACTTTAGTCTATTTTAGTGGGGATTGGGATGTTCACTAGGGGCTTTCGACCCATAGCCATATCTATCTGTGCAAGTCGAGGGCGCCCTTTCCCAGCGTGTTCTGCGCTTTGAGGGAATGTAAAGCATTGGAGGAGCGGTTCTAAATGCCGTCCTATCTTCGTGCCGCGGCCTGGGCTGTCCCAATAAAACTACTCTGCAGTCGATCGGTGCGTCAACAGATCGCCCGTGCACGAGCGGTCTGGTCGCGCACATTGCCCAAGCTCAACTTTCGACACACGTGTCATAGGCTCAGATCTGCGACATGGCCAAGTTGTCGAACATGCGGCTACGCCCCAATACGGAAGATACTGACAAAAAATGCAAGCGCAGGGTTTGAGTTGGGAACCTGCAGAGGGAGTTCCACAATCAAGTGGACACGCTTGAAGCAGCCGTCACTGCACCAAGCTATGGTGAAGGGCTGCAGCCCAATGGCTCGGGCTCGAAAAGGACAGTCTCCTTAACCCCTGGTTTCCGCCAACTTCATGGATGGTTCGCTTGGACTGACTCCAGACCTGCAGACCTCGTGCATTGCCATGAGTGACGCTGCTGTCATGCATGGCCAACCTCGCTGCATTGGGAACCACTCCAAAGCGTGGTTTCCCTGAACCGCCCCTTTTTTCAACAACCGCAAGGTTACCCTCAAAACCTGAGTGTAAAATGCCCGGACACCTCAGGCGTGGAGTCCGGGCTCTTCTTGACAGCCTGCTGCGTGCCAAGATCAGCTTCGATCTAGCTGGTGCTTTGGATTGGTGGTTTGTTGGTTCAGGAGAAGTTTCTCATTTACCCTCTACAAGAACCAGGGGTTCAAATCCCCAAACCACCAATCCAAGCCACCAATTAAAGGGAACCTGACAAGATTGCAAAGAGACAGGCCCAGAATTGGCTGGCCATGCTGGCCCTCTCAGGATCATCCGTCCACCTACATCTTGCTCCCACTTGCCGGAATCGCCGGACAAGACGACAAAGTCAATTCCAATCCAAACCCAAATCCAAGGCTCCAAGGAATTCGCCCAGATCCCTGAAGAACACCTCCAAATCTCAGGGCATGGGACTTCTGTGCGCCTCCAGCATCGGCAGGAAGACGTTGGCCGGGATGCCGAAGGCCTCCGTGGTCTCCTCCAAGCGTCCCAAGCGTCGGCACCGATGGGTTTTTGTTGGTGCTGTGGACCCGGGGCTCGCGGGTCAAAGGCCCTTGGTGCAGCTAACAAGGCACGAAAACAGGATGCGCAAAAGAAGGAAGCCTCCAGTCCTCCGAGCAATGCTCTCTGCGTGCAGACTGGAAGTCGAAGGAAGCAAAGAAGGCCCGGACTTCCCCGCCTCGTGCCGACGAAGTCAATGGCAACACCAAGTGTCGATCCACCAAAACGGACCGGAAACTTGCTGGTGCGATAGGGCCTGTAGGGAATGAACCCGGGGGGTCTCTTCAAGGAAACCACCAGTTGGACGTTTAGATCGGGGTCATTCCATGTCTCAGTCCCCTATCGCAGCAAGTTTCCGGGACCTGATGAAACCCGAGCCCCGTGTGGAGCCTTGCAAGACCTTGTTCAGGAGGTTTTGTTGGGTTGCAGCAACACAAACGCTGCGAAGACGAGCTCTCCCGGGGAAAAAAAAAAGCAGGGCTAGGGATGGGAGGCGTCATACTCCCAGGCCTGAAGGAGCCTGAACTCACTGGCGCTCTGAGGGATCCATGAGGCAGTACAGGAATTGACTCATCTAAAGAGAATGAGCGCTTCAAGCAACAACATGGAACTTGCGCAAGGTGTATATAGGGTTTGTCCAAGTTGGCTGAATTGTTGAAGGATGCGTCCATCAACATTATAGGAACAAATGAGACAGACAGACAGACAGACAGGACAGGACAGGACAGGACAGGACAGGACAGGACAGGACAGGACAGGACAGGACAGGACGACAGGCAGGCAGGCAGGCAGGCAGGCAGGCAGACAGCCAGACAGACAGACAGACAGACAGGCAGGCAGGCAGGCAGGCAGGCAGGCAGACAGACAGCCAGACAGACAGGCAGGCAGGCAGGCAGGCAGACAAACAGACAGACAGACAGACAAGCAAGCAGCAAGCAAGCAAGCAAGCAAGCAAGCAAGCAAGCAAGCAAGCAAGCAAGCAAGCAAGCAAGCAAGCAAGCAAGCAAGCAAGCAAGCAAGCAAGCAAGCAAGCAAGCAAGCAAACAAAGGAACAAAGGAACCAAGAAACAAACAAGCAAGCAAGCAAGCAAGCAAGCAAGCAAGCAAACAAACAAACAAACAAACAACCAAACAAGCTGCAGCTCAATCAACATTGACAAATGTCTGTCGTAGTAGCCTTAGTGCATTGTCGCATGACTTCCTGATTTCAAAGATGTCCATTTAGAGCTGTTCCTGCAGAAGCTGCGGAGAATGCAGTCAAGGCAACAACGCGCAAACGGGGTGTATGGCCCACAATGTTGATCAAGCCACGGCTCAGACATCGCTTGGGTTTGCCTCAAAGTAGTGGACCCTCAAACTGTTATGTTTCCTTTTGGTTACCTTTGCAACTACCCAAAATAGTGATAAGCACAAAAGGCACGTGCCTTCTGCCATAGGTTGAAATTCGGGCGCTGTGTCGTCCCATCCGAAGCCACAAAATAGCTTCAGTCAATTGCTCCAGTCTATAAGCCACTCAATCTGGGCTCCTTGTCCTCTTCAAACATCACCCTGCAAAAGGGAAACCCGATGAAAACTGGCAACCAACCGATGCTAAACTGACTCGAGTACAAGTGGATGATTTCCCGGGGTCAACACCCGGGGCTGCCTTTCTCTCTGTTTTGGGCCGTTGAGTTGGTCAACCTAAATATACGGTTCCACCGCAAGTGGGTACCAAATGTTGGACGAGCCTAAGCTCCCCACGCCCATCACACAGAACTCCTCCTCGCGCGTCTTCCGGGGTGTCGGTGAGGACAGCGATCTGCAAAACGCCGTTTTGGGATGGCTTTAAAGAGGAACCAAAAGGAGTAGC